CCAACTATACGGACAGTATGATGGGGGCTAATTTAGCTACGACAAATCAGGAAAGAGATCTTGGAGTTATCGTGGACAGTTCTCTGAAAACTTCCACACAGAGTGCAGCGGTGGTCAAAAAGGCAAATAGGATGCTAGGAATTATTAAGAAAGGGATAGAAAATAATACCCAGAATATCTTACTGCCCCTGTATAAAGCTATGGTACGCCCACATCTTGAATACTGTGTACAGATGTGGTCTCCTTACCTCAAAAAAGATATTTTGGCCTTGGAAAGGGTTCAGAAAAGGGCAACTAAAGTGATTAGGGGTTTGGAACGGGTCCCATATGAGGAGAGGTTAAAGTGACTGGGACTTTTCAGTTTAGAAAAGAGGAGACTGAGGGGGGATATGATAGAGGTCTATAAAATCATGAGTGGTGTGGAGAGGGCTGATAAAGAAAAGTTATTTATTAGTTCCCATAATAGAAGAACTAGAGGACACCAAATGAAATTAATGGGTAGCAGGTTTAAAACTAATAAAAGAACGTTCTTCTTCACACAGCGTGTAGTCAACCTGTGGAACTCCTTGCCAGAGGAGGCTGTGAAGGCTAGGACTATAATAGAGTTTAAAGAGAAGCTGGATAAATTCATGGAGGTTAGGTCCATAAAAGGCTATCAGCCAGGGGATAAAATGGTGTCCTTGGCCTCTGTTTGTCAGAGGCTGGAGAGGGATGGCAGGTGACAAATCACTTGATCATTGTCTTCGGTCCACCCTCTCTGGGGCACCTGGTGCTGGCCACTGTCGGTAGACAGGATACTGGGCAAGATGGACCTTTGGTCTGACCCACTACGGCTGTTCTTATGTTCTTATGGTGCAGGGCCAGCACAGGCGTGAGCCTGCCTTAGCCCCACTCCACCACCACCCAGGAGCCACATGAAGTAAGCAGTGTCCAGCAGGAGCCACCTCTGATCCTCTGCCCCAATCATGAACCTCCTCCTGCACCCCAAACCCGGCAGCACTCCAGCTGCTCTGCCCCAGGCATCCCCAAGAGCAGCGGGGGTGCTGCCGGGTTGATCCCGCAGCCCCGACGGGCAGCACTACGAGACCAACCCAGCAGCACTCCAGCTACTCTTGGGGACGCCTGGGACAGAGCAGCTGGGGTGCTGCTGGGTTGGTCTCATAGTGCTGCCCCTCGGAGCTGCGGGACCAACCTGGCAGCACCCCCGCTGCTCTTGGGGATGCCTGGGGCAGAGCAGCTGGAGTGCTGCCGGGTTGGTCCCGCAGCGCCGAGGGGCGGCGCTACGGCACCAACCCAGCAGCACTCCAGCTACTCTTGGGGACGCCTGGGACAGAGCAGCTGGGGTGCTGCTGGGTTGGTCTCATAGTGCTGCCCCTCGGAGCTGCGGGACCAACCTGGCAGCACCCCCGCTGCTCTTGGGGATGCCTGGGGCAGAGCAGCTGGAGTGCTGCCGGGTTGGTCCCGCAGCGCCGAGGGGCGGCGCTACGGCACCAACCCAGCAGCACTCCAGCTACTCTTGGGGACGCCTGGGACAGAGCAGCTGGGGTGCTGCTGGGTTGGTCTCATAGTGCTGCCCCTCGGAGCTGCGGGACCAACCTGGCAGCACCCCCGCTGCTCTTGGGGATGCCTGGGGCAGAGCAGCTGGAGTGCTGCCGGGTTGGTCCCGCAGCGCCGAGGGGCGGCGCTACGGCACCAACCCAGCAGCACTCCAGCTACTCTTGGGGACGCCTGGGACAGAGCAGCTGGGGTGCTGCTGGGTTGGTCTCATAGTGCTGCCCCTCGGAGCTGCGGGACCAACCTGGCAGCACCCCCGCTGCTCTTGGGGATGCCTGGGGCAGAGCAGCTGGAGTGCTGCCGGGTTGGTCCCGCAGCGCCGAGGGGCGGCGCTACGGCACCAACCCAGCAGCACTCCAGCTACTCTTGGGGACGCCTGGGACAGAGCAGCTGGGGTGCTGCTGGGTTGGTCTCATAGTGCTGCCCCTCGGAGCTGCGGGACCAACCTGGCAGCACCCCCGCTGCTCTTGGGGATGCCTGGGGCAGAGCAGCTGGAGTGCTGCCGGGTTGGTCCCGCAGCGCCGAGGGGCGGCGCTACGGCACCAACCCAGCAGCACTCCAGCTACTCTTGGGGACGCCTGGGACAGAGCAGCTGGGGTGCTGCTGGGTTGGTCTCATAGTGCTGCCCCTCGGAGCTGCGGGACCAACCTGGCAGCACCCCCGCTGCTCTTGGGGATGCCTGGGGCAGAGCAGCTGGAGTGCTGCCGGGTTGGTCCCGCAGCGCCGAGGGGCGGCGCTACGGCACCAACCCAGCAGCACTCCAGCTACTCTTGGGGACGCCTGGGACAGAGCAGCTGGGGTGCTGCTGGGTTGGTCTCATAGTGCTGCCCCTCGGAGCTGCGGGACCAACCTGGCAGCACCCCCGCTGCTCTTGGGGACGCCTGGGGCAGAGCGAGACTATCGTAAGGGGGGGCTAGGAGAGGTCTGGGGTGGCATCACCAATAGGAAAATCGCTTTCACTTAGCTAGATACATGAGCAAAGTAGGCGGCTTCTTACTGCTGAGAAGGACTGGATGGATGTTCTCAGAGCAGGCCTGCTCAGTGGTGTTTAGCCATAGAGCCACTATGCTATGAGATGGAGAGAGTGCAGGTCCAAGTGGTGGAGGTAACAATGGACTTGTGTGATGAGATCCAGGAGTAGTGGGAGTGGAATTGGTAGTTGTACCAATAGTTCCAGGAAGGTAGGGTACCAGTGCTGAGAGGCCCTGGCTAGGATTATAAGGATAATGTTCACCCTGTCTCTGCAGAGCTTGAGGAGCAACTTATGGACCAGCAGGAAAGGGAGAAAAGTGTACAGCAGTTGGTAAACCACAGAATCAGGAATGTGCCTGCTACAGATCCCAGACCAAAGTCCTGGAACAAGCAGAACCACAGGCATTTCTGATTGCAACAGGCAGCGAAGACATCTAGCAGGGGAAAAGCCCACTTACAGAAAATGGTGTGGAGAACGTCCAGACAGACCAAACACTCGTGAGCAAGAAAATGGCAACTGAAGCAATCCGCCAAGTGGGTTTGAACCCATGGGAGTTACACGGCTTCGAAGTGAATAGAGTGGGCTATGCACAAGTCCCATAGACAAAGGGCTTCAGCACAAAGGGGAGATGACCAAGCTCCTTCTTGTATGTGGATATGATACATGGAGGTCATGTTGTCAGTCATCACCACCACACAGCATCCCCGAAGGTGAGGAGGAAAGGTGAGACACACAAGGCAGACTGATCAAAGCTCAGTTACATTGATATTAAGAGACATTTCCTCCTCTGAGCACATCGCTTGAGTGGTGAGCCCCTCAACCCAAAGAAGATACATCTATGACCAGAGACACTGTGGGCTGCTGAACATGAAAGGGAACACCAACCAGCACAGACTAGGGGATCTAGCCACCACCACAGGGCATGAGTGACATGGCAGGGCACAGTGATTACCATGTCAGTGCTGTCCCGTCCCAAGCGTAACGTGAACACCAGCCATGACTAGAGGGGTTACAGGAAAATGGGACTACATACGTGCATGCCACCATATGACTTGAGGAGCTTGAGGGCCATGGTGACCAGAAAGAGACTTCAGAATCTTGGCCAATGCTGTGAATCAACAGACAGGTAAGAACACCTGGGCTCTGGTGGCATCAAGAACAGCCTTGATTAATTCAATCCTTTGCATGGGGATAAGAGTCGACTTTGCAGGATTGAGCAGCAAGCCCAGCCTGTTGAGAATGGCACTGGTAAAGGTGGCATGTGCCTCCACCTGTTGATAAGAATGGCCCCGCAGAAGCTGTTCATCCAGAAAAAGTGTAAACCTGCACTCCACAACACCTGAGTAAAGCTGCTACAACCATCATGCACCAGCTCCTGCTCCCTACCTTGCTGCCTTTCTCTGACAGAGGCAGCAACTAGTCAAGTCACTACTAGACTATTCAATAAGCATTTGCTTATCGTATAGTCAACTAGTCACTAACATCCCTACTCATATCTTAGGCTATTCTATAACAGCATAGTACCTAAGGTGCAAGTTCGCATTGCTTGTGCAAGATTAGGAAGAGTAAGTTAGGCACGTCTTCAGTACCTGTAAGAGAATATCTAGTTCTAATGACAAAACAAGCAAATGAAAAGGCTAAACTTTATTTGACTCTTATGTAAATGTACTTTCTAAAATAAAATTTCATTTGCAGTGATACAAGATACCTACACCAGATGTTTTAAAGTATCTGTAAACCTTTTACTAGAATGCATTAAGCATTAACTATGTTTGAAGTAAAATACGCTATTAGCACACTATACAACTTCAACTTGGATATTAGGAAAAACTATTTCACTAGGAGGATGGTAAAGTACTGGAATTGGTTACCTAGGGTATGTCGAAATAGGAGGGTAATGTAGGCATACCGCAATTGCAAATGAAGCCTGGGATTTGAATTTCCCGGGCTTCATTTGCATAAGCGGGGCGCCGCCATTTTAAAATCCCCGCTCGTTCGAACCCCGTGCAGCGTGGCTACACGCGGCACAAACTAGGTAGTTCGAACTAGGCACGGGGTTCGAACGAGCGGGGATTTAAAAATGGAGGTGCCCCGCTTATGCAAAGGAAGCCCGGGAAATTCAAATCCCGGGTTTCATTTGCAATTGCGGTATGCCTACATTACCCTCCTATTTCAAAATAGGAGGGTAGTGTAGACATACCCCTAGGGAGGTGGTAGAACCTCCATCCCTAGAGGTTTTTATGTCCCGGCTTGACAAAGCCCTGGCTGGGATGATTTAGTTAGGGCTGGTCCTGCTTTGGCAAGGGGACTGGACTCGATGACCTCCTGAGGTCTCTTCCAGCCCTAGGATTCTATGACTCATACTGCATCACATGCATAATTACTAATTCTCAGTGCAATGAAATGAATTCTTTATGTCATGCTATCATAATATACAAATGAATGCCAAGACATTTTTCTTTGAAACACCTACCTTCACTACCACAGTTTGGTCAGAGACGCTACTCATCATCTCGTTGATAGACTTAAAGAGCTGCAGCAATGATTCCATGAAGTCTGCTTCTCCTTTGTTTTCATAAAGTCTGAGAAATTTAAAATAAAAGGGCCTCTTAAATTCCTCAAGTTATATCATTCAAGCTTTTACATAGAAAACTGCTAACCAAGAAGAAATTCATTCAAGTCACAGACCTAAAATGAGTTAATACTATTTTAAAGCTTCCCTTGGTAAAACATCCAAAAGTTGAAGATTTAACACTAATCCTAAATCACTAAGACCTAGCCTACTCTAACCCCTGCCTTCAATCTAATCTGTATAGCTGAAGTTGACATACTTACCGCAGTATCCTCTGTGTGGTAAGGTTGGCAAGGGCTGCTCTCCCATAGACGCCGGCTACTCTTCTCATCCTGGTAGAGCACCAGAGCCGACGGGAGAGCACTCAGAGATCGATTTATCATGTCTAAGATGCAATAAATCGATGGCCAGTGGATTGATCACTGCAGTGGAGACAAGCCCTATGACCCAATCAATCCCTCTTATTATCATTCAGCTCCACAGAACTGCAAAATAACGGGCTAGATTCACTCCTTTGCTCAGAAGAGAAGTAAGCCAGGGAGTGGGAACAGCATGCCAGGAAGCCAGGTCCATCTGCCTGATTCTCAAGATCAGATCCAGCCTAACTTACAAGTGGTGCTAATCATCTTTAAATTCTGTGACTGTCTTAAGGCTTTTCATAAATGTTATGCCAGGAGAAGTGCTTTGGCAACCCCCTTTTCCACCACCAGAAAAACCCTGAGAGGGAAGAGGGGACATTTATTCCATCTCTATTAGTACATATAAGCTAAATATGTTAACGTCACTCAGTTACTGTCTCAAACTGAACAGTGTTAAACAAAATTTGGTATACACAATTTAACCTGCTTAGTACTATGGCAAATATACCATTAAATAGCCTTTTAACTTTTTATTAAAAATAAATAAAAAGAGTTACAATATTTGACACATAAGTATTAAATAAGGCACTTATTTTAACAACATTCCTAGTTTCTTTTCTTTTTTAGCTGATGGAGTTTTTAGAAAGAAAACCCTCTTGCCAACAGTCTTTTAGATGGTATTAAAGATTATGGTAATTGTTTTTTGGAGGAAAAAAGAAGTTAGAGGAGATGGACTGGAGCTGTTGTGCTTCTGTTAAAGTTTGATTTTATTTTATTTTAGGTGGTGTTTGGGATTGAGCAGAAGCTGACAGATGTTATTTGGGCATATCTCTCTCTTATCTGTACCCAGGTTGGTCAGGGTGTTTTTCAGAATTAGGAAAAGGAAGATCTAAGATCTTAGGAAATTGTAGGAATGGTAGCCAGAATTGGGAGGCTTAATCCAATAGCCCCCTATCTTGCTTTTATAAACAGGGGCTTTTTTAAAAGGACTTAAAAAGGAAGTTACGTGGTAATAGTTGATCTCTTTTTTACTTTGTCCATTAATTAAACTTAAAATCTGATACACTACTTTTGGTTTATTAATTTTGGGACTTGCTTTATGTTTATTCAGCATGATTTTAATGCAGTTTTTTAATTATGTATTAGGGTTTCTGGTTTGGACTATTTCAGAGGGGTTTGCTTTTTTTGTTTTCTTTAACACTGATTATTATAGATTTTGTTTCAGTTGATAAATGTCCATTTTATAGATGAGTATACAATTAGGGTAAATTTGTAGGCTTAACAAACTAATGCAAAGGGGGTATGATGCAGGGCAGATACATCAGCAGGGAGTTCCCCCCAATGCCAGCGGGTCTCTGTTGGTACTTGAGGCAAGGTCACAATGCCTTTGTGTCACTTCAGTGGTGCAAAAAGGATGTAAACCTGCTAGAGAATTTAGTCCAATTTCTAAATATGGCAAAAAGGTAACTCAAAATTTCAGAACCCTCTCTCTATCTTAAACGCAAGAAGGACTTTACTGAAAATGTAGGGGAAAGTACGAAGTCTTACAAAAGAGCTACACCATTCCAGCGAACAGATTTCCTGTAAAAACTTTAAACGTTTCTTCTGTGAGAATACACATAGCTGGGATGCATTCAACAGACTTCTGAGAGCTCTCTCCATTTAGTGAGCTTCAATTAAAGAACATATGCCTAGACAGGATTAATATTTGCCACAGAGGGAAACCATAGGTAAGGGTGCAAGGGATACAGAAGACAGAAGGGCAGAATGATAGGGACCCATGACTGCCATGTCAGATCTAAATTGTGTAACTTATAAAAGAGCACATGGAAAGCACCAGAAATATTTCTCATGCACTGTACATTCAGTTCTATGGGTCCACTTGAGACATTTAGTCTCTGCACTGTTTCTCCATCCTGTTTACACTAGTTGCTGAAATGCCCCTTTGTTGTGGGCCATCACAGCCTGTAACAGTAGCTATCAATATGTGTGCACATCCTTTTTACAACTGAGAGCATGTCTACACTAGGAAATTGTTTCAAAATAACTAAATTCAAAATAATAATTCCCAAAATAACAAAATTGAAATAGTGTGTTCCTCTATGGGGGAGCATCGAAATTAGTCCAGGCTAGCTCTGTTGTGTACACACTATCTCGACATAGAGCCCCAGGAACCACTGGAGAGTAATTACTTCAAATTACTCTGGGCATTAGTGATTTTGAAATAGTAGCAGCGGAGAGTCTACACTACTGCTATTTCAAAATAACTATTTCAAAATAAATGTTTTTCCCTGAGGAAAACAGGAGTACAGATTTCAAAATAACCTGCATGTTATTTCAGAATAATGGACTTGGTAGTATGGATGTTCTGCTTATTATTTCAAAATAAGGGGAATTATTTCAATATAACTCCCGAATGTAGACCAGGGTTGAGTCTAGTTTCAGCATATGGTTCTTCCTTTCTAGGGAAATGGGAGCATTATAAGTTAAGTTTTTTACATATTCCAACCTGATTTCAAGTCTGATTTCTTCATACCTGAAAAGATCAACTTTAAGATTCACTAAAACTGACTTTGGATAATCTATACTACAAATTACAAATGAGGAAGAGAGATAGACGTTTTAAAGTGATGTATGAAAAAAACAGGATGTTCTTACTGCACTAAAATTCATGTGTATTATTTCTATCACAAAATGCATATGGCAGGGAACCATAAATACAAAAAAGTTATTAAAGTAGTACACTAGAGGAAATGAAAAAGTAATTAAAATACCATTTTGCTATTAGAACTTTGCTTCCCAACTAGAACAGTAGGCCATGCAGCACAAATAAGTAAAATTATACTTTAGGAATGAATTAAGATATTGCAATTTTCACCTAATAAAAGGAACCATAAAAACTTGACAATCAGTATCTATCAAGACATTTTACAGATACATGAAACTGGTTAATACAAGAAAAACAAATCTTTGTGCTCTCAATAAGTCCTGAGCACCCAATAACTTCAGCTGGATCAGGGCCTAAACACTGATCTGAGGTTACAGCCAGCGTGGCATATGGAGAGGGTGTCCAAGTGTTTGTTATCCAGTACTAAATGCAGTCAGAATGTTCAATAATAAATTATTTAAAAGTTATGATTTGTAATACCAATGCCTTTTTAAAAGCTTTTTCTTTAGAACAGAAACTATTTGCTCGTTAAGTGTTCCACACTAAAACACTAGCACTCAGACCATTTATTTTAAGGACAGCCCCTTATGCCGTGGGTTTAATACTTGTAATCACCAGAGGGAGGGGCAACAGCTTCCCTGGGCCTCTGGGCATCAGGAGGAGCTGGCTCAGCATCCCCAGAAGGGCAGGGCCCTGGGTGGAAAGGGCAAGACTGGCTCTGCATCCGCAGATGGAGTGAGGCCTTAGGCAGAAGAGGCAGGGCTGGGACTAACCTTCCCACGCTGCAGCAGCCAGAAGCTCCAGGCACTTGTGAATTGCCAGGATAAAGGTCAGTTACTCTCATTTCCCCACAACCACCATCAATGAACCCGATAATCACCACCTATTAGACAGGGCTTCAGTTTTACAAACAGAGAACCAATTGTTATGTCATTCGAATTTAGTAGCTTCCATAATCATACTCTTATCATTCAGAGTTGTGATTTTCTAGTGCTAATGTACTTTGAATTAGTGCTTAGCACTAGGAAATCCAATGGCAAACACTAAGGGATCAATTTTTTTTTCTGAAATCTCAACTGCAATGAGAGAGAATTATTTTTTTCTTGTAAGAACAAGTGACAGTCAGTGCCGTATAAGTCTCACAGCAAGAATATTATTGAAAGAAATTACATTGCCTAATTTATAAAAAAAACTTGGTGATGTTATCTTCAGAACTCTACATAAATCCCTTGCAATAACCTTGTTATATCCTATAAGAAATAGCAAAAAGGTTACATTAAAGGTTAAATTAAGACAAATACAAAATGTACTTCCTTATTCATAGGTTTGTATATCTACTCTTGGTAATACTATGACGATTTTAATTTGCTGCAAAATGACTATTTATACTAAGCATTGTTGGGTGAATATTGACTTCAGGTAAGGCAACAAAGTTACCTATGCAAGTCATAGAAAATGTTTGTTGTCTTCCCTGTCTCTGTACCCTCCCGCACCGTGCAGGACTTGGAATGAATATAAAACTATCTATAGGATCCCAGAACGTCATACAGAGGCCCCAGAGTAGTATACGGATCCTTATGATCGCAAAGCGATTTTCTTCAAGATTCAAATCATGATTTAAATCCATTTTAATCATGATTTGAAATCCACAAATAGGTAATCTTGATTGGGTTTTTTGTCATTTTATGTTATTTTCCTAAATAAAGGTTCATTCTCATTGGTTGGTTTAATTTAGTACAACTTTTTGCTAGCCATGAAGATATACTATACAGGCAGTCCCCTGGTTACATGGATCCGACTTACATCGGATCCCTACTTACAAACAGGGTGAGGCAACCCTGCACTAGCAGCTTCCCCCCAGCAGACCAGGGAGACGCGAAGCTAGCGCCTCCCCCCCCCCCCCCCCCCCCACACCCGGGAGCCCCCCCAGCAGACCAGGGAGATGCGGAGCAGCTTTTCTCAGCAGACACTTCAGCTTGAGAATAAAGGACTGAGGGAAGTGAGGTGTGGGAGAATAAAACTGAGCTCTGGAGAAATGTTTGGCTAGAGTTTCCCCTACAATATGTACCCGTTCCGACTTACATACAAATTCAACTTAAGAACAAACCTACAGTCCCTATCTTGTACGTAACCCGGGGACTGCCTGTATCTAGTACATTGATTCAGAGTCTCAATTTTTAATTTTTAATTATTCTAGAAATGGAAAATGGTAAAATTTTAACTTACCAGATTACCTTTTTACTCATGATTTACTTATCAGGCGGCATTTCCTTATAAATTGGAATTTAATTAAAATGCCCAGAAACAGCCTCTTAAATTTTTTATTGCTTAAATAAAACTACCTTTAAAGTGCAAGATGCATGAGAAGAAAAGTTAATACAAACCAAGTTAACTTTTTAAACAAATCAAATATTATCTGTGCTAGGAAACAAGTGTGATGGCTTCAGGTCTCTGTGTCCTTTAAGGTTTTAGAACAAGTAGTTCTCAACTCCTCACACCTCATTTTCATTCATAGCTTGGAAGTAGAAATCAAGCTTTTCTGCTTTTTCAGCACCTAATCAATCAATCAAATTTCTCAACTTTGAATGAAGTACTCATTCAACTGAACTCACTGAACTGAAGAAAATTTTCTCCTTCCATCTGGAGGAAAAAGCCAGTGCTGTTACAGTGGCACATCAACTTACACTGGTTCAAGGTGATTAGCCTGTGATTCCGGTCATCTCAAGTAGTAGACTGTGCCCACGAAAGCTAACATATGATACCATCTCTATGTTTTGTTAGTCTATAAAGTGCTACCAGACCATTGTTGGTTTTTTGTAACTTATCCTGTACAGACTAATTCGGCTACCCCCTGAAGCTCCAGTTTATTAGTTCGTCATTCCTTAAAACTTAAGCAGTAAACATACTTCTTGAACCAGTTTAACCTCTCTAGTCCCTCACTCTCTTATCCAACATCATTCATGGCCCAGCATGACTTTAGTTAGCCAGATAACCATTTATCATGACCAAGTTTCCCGAAGTCCCATAAAGTTTGTTTACAGCCACCAGTCCTAGCTCTCAATGTTCTGTGCTGTAATTTAGCTCTAATTTACCCCTAAATAACTTCCAACAGCCCAATAAGCAGTGGAAGTGTTGATGCTACTAGATACTAATGGCCTCCTGTGATTTGGAAAATTCTCTGGCAAGTGCCAGACTAGAGAGGTTCAACCTGTTTTTTTGTTTTAATTATTTTAAAAAGATTACAGTAAATTACAGAATTAACAGAAATTACCATACTTTCAAATAGGTGTTTTGAAAAGACAATATAGTTGTTTTAATTTTTAAAGCAATTTGTATCAATTTATTGACTTTAATCAACCTCAACAACTTGGCCCAGAGAAAAGTTTCCTTCTTCCTCCCCACAAAAGGTAAAATATCTTGCAATTAGATGAAAATATAATTTGACGTGAGGAACTAGCAAAAGTCAGCCCTGAATAAGTCATAGTAATTGAGCAGTGTCCCATTAGTAGCATTAATATTTGGATAATTATTATCTTGATCCCAAAGAGAGTTTCACAAATTTTCAATGGCCTGCATAGTATTTCTTTCAAGCTATTGGGTCACAAAATCATGACACTACTGCATATCACAGTGCTTCCTGAGGTGGTTGTTAGGCTTTCAAGCTAAATTAGGTATAACTTTCTTCTACCTTCCATTGTTGTAGGTTGACTAAAAACTAAGGAATCCTAGCCATGAGAACGAAATGATTTAAATAGCAATACATTTAAGACACTCAAAACATTTTTGAAATAGTGAATCTTGTAACATATGCAGAACTCATACTAATGTACTATGGTTTAAAATTAAACTGGAGTTGTTGGGATGCCTAGCATAAGTTATTAGTTTGCTACTTGTAAGTAGTATAGCCCTTCCAAGCCCTTGCTAATGAAGTTGTTACACATCAATACAACATCAAATATTCTAATTAGACTAAGAACAACTGCCACGGTTAAGGCTGCCTTCCCAAACTAACCTTCTGTTTTAAGTTCCTTGCAAAATTCAGAAAGCTGTAAGCAACAATGGAAGTACTTATGTACCCTTTCTAAACTGAGGCATCATTCCTACAGTGAGATCCATGCTTAAATATAACCACATATACTCATAGTTTACATGTGCAAGGCTTGGTAGAAGGCAACTGAGAGAAAGATGCTGAATTGGAACAGTTAGGGTTTGATAACTGGAACGGGATCATAGAATACTAGGACTGGAAGGGGCCTCGAGAGGTCATCGAGTCCAGTCCCCTGCTCTCATGGCAGGACCCAGTACTGTCTAGACCATCCCTGATGGACATTTATCTAACCTACTCTTAAATATCTCCAGAGATGGAGATTCCACAACCTCCCTGGGCAATTTATTCCAGTGTTTAACTACCCTGACAGTTAGGAACTTTTTCCCAATGTTCAACCTAAACCTCCCTTGCTATAAACCAGTAGCAGTGTGGGCATAAGCTAAACCAGGGGTGGGCAAAAACACCTCCACGGGCTGGATCCGGTCCGCCAAGCAGGTTGATCCAGCCCATGGAGGCCCTGCTGCTCCCCCGTCCCCAGGTCAATTAGGGCCTGGGGGTGGGGGAAGTGCACAAAATTTCCTCCACTCTGCGCTTAGAAGCACCATGTGATCCTGGCAGGGCAGAAGGAGACTTTGAATGCTCCCCCACCCTCAAGCCCTGATTGGCTTGGAGGCAGAAGAGGGAACGTGCAAAGTCTCCTCCCACTGCCAGGGACATGGGCGCCTAGGGGCAAACCTCTGGGGGGGAGGGGAAACAAAGACTTCATGTGCTCCCTCACCCCCAGACCAATTATGGTCTGTGGGTGGAGAAGCAGGGAAGTATCCTGGCCCCACCCCTTCTGGTACGGCCAAGGGCCACTTCAAACATTTCTGATGTGGCCCCAGCAAAAAATTATTGCCCACCCCTGAGCTAAACAGTAGCAATGTGTCCACTAAACATTCACACCTCACAAGGTCTTAGTACCCTAAATCTTATTCCTTCTGTCTAATGCCTAAGTTACATTTTCTTATACTTTGGGAATAAACCAAATTTGTGCAGAGCAAACAAGTGCTTTATAAAGAAAGAAATAATATTCCATTTACTGCATAGGACTTACCCTTAAATAGGTAGTGCCCTTACAAAAAAATGCTTTGTTTCATGCCATCTACTAGTAGGAAGAAAATTTACAATAAATAAAAAAAAAAACTAGAACGCATCACAAATATCCATGGCGTCAATTGTCATTTTAAAAAACAGAAAAATCATATATAGGAAAGAAAAAAATATGGATCCAAGGCTAGTTTTTTTTTTTAAATGTTAATACTTACTGATTGAACAATATTCTGGAACGCACTATAAATTTGAAGATATATTCCAGTGCTTTCATAGCTTTAAAAAGTTGATCAGTTACGCCAGGTTTTTCAGCATTATCCACATACGTTTTTAAAACTTTGGTCAGCTTGCTATTAAAAAATAATACAGGTTACTTGTATTTTTTCAGTTAAAAATTTTGATTCCTAAAGACTTTAACAAAAAGAAGTATTAGCCACAACTAGTTCACACAACATTAAAGCATTTTATTATTTCAGATTATTGAGTCTTCATTCAATTCTTGCCCTTGCCAGTGACTATGACTTTAGGGAATTCCATTAACCTCTCTGCTGAACACTTTACCTACATACAAAATGAGCTAAGCATCATGTATTTCATAGCTGTATTGGGAGCTTAATATTTACAAAGTCCTTTGAAGCTTCAGATGTTCAGGTCAAAGGTGCCATTGCAAGTGCAAAGGATTATCATAAATACTCGTGAGTAGATTTCCAAATTTAATTATATTGCTTAAATCAAGAGCCCCTTCTGGGTTGGATCTAGTATCCTTTCATAGGGCTTTACTTTGGAGAAGTGATAAAATAGATCCTGTAAAACTCACCTTTCCAAAATTATAGACAGTACCAGTTGACATTTAAAAATGGATTCACCTCCAACTCTGGGATTTATAAAATTTTGTTTCTATACACTAGCAAAATTACCACTTCTATAGCCTCGCTTTGCATGGCTGGAAATCCCTGTTTAAACTGAAATATAGTCAACTCCCAGTTTAAAATCACTATCTTTAGTTTTATTTTAAACATGCAATGAGTGATATTTTAAGAAACATACAACCTATTGAAGATAAAAAGTGCTAAGGACCTCATTTTGTCCTTAACACTGAAGTGTGAAGGAGGATTTATTGACATGGTGTCCTCACAGGTCTCTGGATCTGTCAATGATGATACTCAGAAGGCTGCTTCCGTATGTGCTCAATGATGTGGGCCCAATGACCACCGCAGACCCCAAGAGGACCCCCAAAGACCATAAAACAGATAAAGATCCAAGGTGCCTGGCCAGGTTTATTGTTAAGTGAAGTACAGCAACAGTTGCCAATAGACTCCGCCAAATCACTGCACACATGTACTTATAACAATGGCCTCAGCACAACCAGGCTATGTCTAGACTACATGGCTCCGTCAACGGAGCCATGTAAACTAGTTTACCAGGCACAGGCAAAGAAGCGGGGATATAAATAATCCCCGCTTTATTAAAATAAACATGGCCACCACGCAGTGCGGACAATCAACTGATCCAGCACAGCGCAGCAGTCTAGACAAGGATCTGTCGTCTGGGGAAGTGTATGCCGACAGATCCTGTAAACCTTGTTTCACGAGGCATAAGGGATCAGTCAGCAAAGGCTTCCCCAGCCAACAGTGGCAGCCATGTTTATTTTAATGAAGCAGAAATTATTTAAATCCCCTCTTCTTTGCCCATGCCGGGTAAACTAGTTTACATGGCTCTGTCGACAGAGCCATGTAGTCTATACATACCCACAGTGGGAAACTCTCACTGCTCCCTGGCTGGACTAAGACTGTCCCCCCAGCAAGACACCACTTTATATACAGGTACAACAAGTTACACATCACTGCTGACGTTGTCAGGTTACCACCCTCTTATGCTACTTAGATACCATTCATCACCCTGTACCTCGTGGTTTGATTAGACCATCTCTATCTATCATCTGTCATTTTAGACCCTTTCCTGAACCTGAGTCTGTATCTGTGGGGAGTGCGTACCAAGGCCTTTTTTAATGAGCTGGTGGTACCGTGTGCTTTTAACTTATGACCCAGTACCAATTACTGTTGTACACCTGGGCCTACTACCAATTAGTGTTTTGCACTCTCAGCCCTGTTCATGCCAAGTTCTGTTAGCAGAGCTCTGCCTCTTGCTCTCAACTTAGTTTTGCTTTATGTTAGCCATGTTTTGTCTGTTTTTCGCTAGGCCTCAGACCAGGCCTGTGCTACATGGGCTTACGTTTTAGGCCTTCATCTTACTACAAAGTGAACACACTTCAATTTTTTCCCTTATCTAGTACATAAAAGTAAATTGGCTGCCAAATTCCATTCTGAAGAAGAAAAAGTTGCCAGCAAAACTCCATTACTGGTTTTGTATCCAACAGTCAAAAGCAGCAAATAGCAAAAGAAAGTTATGGGGATTTGTTCTTATTTTGCTGGGTTTTGGCTTTGCTTAAGGATGACAACGGTGGATAGATAATAGAAGATAAGCAGAACACCAATTTTACACCGTATGCAAGATGGATTTAAAATTTAATATTTATTATTCCTTGCACAAGTATAATTGGCAGTTGTCATGTTTTATTTATGATACTTTTCTCCGTAAACATGTCTGAAATAGTCAAATCACCAACTCATTAAAAAAGGAGGAGCTCTGGTCTCCATACCTTAGAACTGACAGCATAGTAATAGACTATTAATTCAAATTTGAAAAAAGAAAAGAAGGAATATCTTCTACTCAAAAAAACAAAAACAAAAAAAGACCACATGTTTTTTTCGTGGTTATAGGTAAACACCTATTTAAATTATGCAAAAGGAAATGTGAATGCCATCTAGACATATTCTGGACAAATATTTAGAAAAAATATTTTTAAAACTTACGTGTAGGCTAAAGTAGCACTGAAATGTTTCTTAATGTAGGTTTCCAAGACAGGATTAAAATGCTGAAATTTTCTGTCAGCAATCAGTCCAATGATAAATACCTGTTAAATTAGTATAATTATTCCATTATCCAAAAAATCTTGGAATTTCTATATTTTCAAGAACTAATCAGTTGAGTCATTCAAACAAGCAACACTAGTTACAGGACACACAGATAGACACTGACCTTAGTTAAAAATTCTCAGAGATGCTAGTCTAGAACTTTAAAGAAAATGAGTAGTCCTGTAGCACCTTAGAGACTAACAAAAATATATAGAATCCGATGAAATGAGTTTTACCCACGAACGCTCATGATTCTATATATTTTTGTTGGTCTCTAAGGTGCCACAGGACTGCTTGTTGTTTTCTTAGTTAAAAACAACAATCCTATTACTCTATTTTACTTTACCAGCTTTCTGTTCCTTACACAAGAATGATTCTCGCTCTGCCCCACCGCCTCTTTTACACCTTTACCTGAAGACTGGCATAGTAGCTGGACCACTATATGCTCTGACATTTATTCTGTCCCTGACACTGTCAGCAGAGTGCCCTCCTTACACTTCTCTTCAATCACTATGATGCAGTGTGTCAGAAACCTCCATCCACTTCAAATTAAAGCCCCAATGGATGTTTTAAAAACACTTCAAATAAGACAAATTTCAAAAGGTATGATTTGCAGGAGATAGGATGAAGATTATTTATGAAAAGACCATAGGGTTTCCCTAATTAAATCTGTAAGTCAGTAAAATTTACATTTTAGCCAAATAACTATACACAAAAATGTCAACTTACCAAAGCATCAAAGACCAGTGTGTCAAACGTCTCACTCTCTGAATTCTCCATCATTATGTTAAAAAGCGCATCCAGTGTATCTTGTAAAAACTGCAAATAAATATAGTCACTATATTTTACAAGAAATTTGAGATTAAAATTTCCCAAATTGATATTTTACAGGTATCTACAAAATAATTTTTATTTTCACATTATATTGACTATAAACATCAAACATCTAGTTTGAAAATAGAAAAATAATTCTTTCACATTTTGTTTTTCATTTGTCAGAAAATGCATCTCCTCCTCTCCCCAGTTATAAGAGCACTTAAAAGTACTTGAACAGAAACCTTTCCTTGTTATCGTGAATATACCAATAAAGTGTTTCAGGATTCAATATTAACACACTGTTATTAAAAATAAACATGCAATTTTTGAGAAATCATCATGTATCACAGTACAAAACACAAACAAGCAAGTCAGACTCATGCTAAATAAATCAGGTAGTACTCAGATGCTTTGAAATTATCTTGACATTAACAGAAAATACTACACAGATATTTAGGGTTCCACGAATTCACAGAACCACAATGATCAACCAATAGCACACATGCAGGCATGGGAAATGCCACACACAACCTTCTGCCTCCCTCAGCCCTCCCCCAAAAAAACCTACAAGCCTCTATCATTGTAACTGAAGAGGAATCTTCGCTAGACAGTTGGCGGGATACCCTGATCTGTACAACATGAAAGTAAAAACAGATTAGCAAAGGGGACTTGGTTTCAGCACAGTGGCAAAAAGTGCTCTAACACCATCTAATTTAATACTCCTTCCTTCTATGTGCTAGTAGCAAATAGGGATGAAGTTCTTCAGGTTGTAAGAAGCATTTAGTTTTCCCATCCAACAATTCTGTGTCCTGGCAATTTGTATTACTAGATGGGACAGAAAACCACACCATCTCCTCTGCTTGACTGACAAGTGCTCAGATTCAGATTTATGAGGAAATATAGTTTTATACAGCAAATGCCTTTTATTTCAGTTGAAACTAGTAGGCAGTTTTCTGCTGCAGTGGGATTCAAGTTTAGGGGTGGAGTATGCTGTTTGTTTTAACCAATAAATGTTATTGGGGAGGGGGACTTCCTGCAACAAGAGGAGTAGAGTAGATTCAATAAATCTATGTAACAGCCTGTGAGATCGCATTCAGGTAATGTCTTGGGTTCTTTAGCAGACTCATCAATGCTCAATCAGAGAGAATCACTGTTAATGATCACAAACTAACTTTAATTTAGTAACCCAATGAAATAATCTTTTTGCCATCAATTTCCATTCCAAGGAATCTGTAGACATAATATGATGCTACTAAGATCTGGAGGCAAAAAGCAGAGAAGAAGGAGAGCTTGCAACATCATTTCTGTATGGGCATGCAACTTGGGGCCAAAATCAGGTTTTGACTTCACATTTTGATTCTTAGTAGAACAATGCTGCACTCATATTCATTTAATTAGGGGGAAACAGCCTGGCAATTCACACTGGTCTACGTTTAAACATTTATTCTTCAGTGGGAGAGAGTTAAGTTTTCCCAAGCATATGATTTTTGAGAGCATGCCTAAAATCCATTAAAAAGAACACAGAGTAGTGAAAACGTGCCATGACTAGATATTTTTGCACACTTGGGCATCACATGTATTTGCTTTAATTTTTCTAGGCTATAAAGCAGTGGTTCCCAATCTTTTTGATACTGGGGACCAGTAAACCCATTCACAAGCTTTTGGAGGACAGGTAACATTTATTTTCACATTTACATATTCATTAAGCAAATGATGAATATGCAAATAAATTGTTTCTGGTTCTTCCAAAGCCCCCAGTGACTACTTTAGCAAAGGTTTTGATATGGTCTCCCACAGTATTCTTGCCAGCAAGTTAAGGAAGTATAGATTGGATAAATGGACTGTAAGATGGATAGAATGGTGGCTAGACTGTTTGGCCCAAGGTTTCCTAAACTTTATATAGTTGGAAACCTGTTTTTTTCAGTACCTTCTTTTGCGGCCCAAAAATATAAATGCATATAAACTGGGTTGAGACAGGATGTGCAGGCTCTGGGGTATGAATGAGGGATTTAGGTGTAGGAAAGAGGGAGAGGTGCAAGCTCTGGGAGGGAATTTGGATGCAGGAAAATGTGGCGAAGGGGATGCTGGCTTAGGGAGGGAGCTCCAGGCTGGGGAGTGCTGGGCTCAGATGGAGGGTTGGGGTGCTGAGCAAGACACAGGCTTGTGAGGGTGCAGGAGTTTGGGTTGGGGGTGTGAGGGGCTCAGGGCAGAGAGGTTGGGAATATGATGGGCTCAGGACACAGATTTGCAGTGTGTGGATGGTGCAAGAGTGTTGTGGCAGAAGATTGAGGATGAGGGGGTGTGAGAGGCTCAGAACAGGGGGTTCCAGTATATAATAGGCTCAGATTTGGAGTCGGGGCAGGAAGTACAGGAGTGTTATGATGCTGTGGCCAGATGATGACTTGCCCCAATTGGGGGTTTGTTGGCCAGGCTTCATTTTTAAATAAAATACTGTTGAACACAAAAGGTTTCGGCATCATCTTTACTTATAAGAAAGGCAAGTAACCTGTTTGAGTCAGGGGTCACTGGCCCACAGAAAATTCATTCAGGGCCACACAAGTGAGATACAAAAACACAACCCCTCCAAACTCCTCAAACCTCACTAATGTGACTTCAGCTGTGCTTGTGGGTGCTGGGACAGGGTTCTTGGGCAGGGTGCCAATGGGTGCTGGGGCAGAGGACAGGGTGCTGGTGGGTGCCGGGGCAGAGTATTTGTGGGAGTCTGGGTGGGGAGGAGGGGACAGGGACCGATACCTGGGGATCCTGCAGCTGCATGCCAAGGCCTAGAAAGTGCACGGACTGCTCCTCCGTCCCCCAAACAGTGTTGCGGTACCTGAAACACTGGTCCATCACACGCGTGATGCCTTCCTGTGCAGGGGGAAGAGGGAATCCCAGACCGTGCCAGCTCCAACTGCTGGGGCAGTACGCGCCCCACGGCAGCGTGTGCTACCCAAGGAGCCGGAGCCAGCGGAGTCCCGGATCCCCACCCCCTCTCCACTGCAGTTTTAGGTACCACGCCGACTGTTGGGGTGGGGGGAGAACAGCCTGTGCGCTTCTGGGACCTTGCGTGCAGCTTCAGAACTGGCCCCCGGCCCCGCGGAAAGCCTGCACAACCTCGGTGGTCCCTGGAGGTAGCATCAGCACAGCCGCCCCCCTCTTGGCCCCAATCCCACCTGCTTTATCGGCCGGTGCTGGCTCCCATTCTGTGTCAGTGCGCCCGGTCTTCTCCCTGGGTCCTAGTGCCCACAGGATCTAGCCCCGCTGCCCGGAAGAATGCCCGGCAGAGACACCGCGGGCAGCGGGCTCTCTCTCAAGAATCGTGCATGCAAATTTTTCTGAGGACAGTATTTTTTTTTCCTAAGGACTGGTACTGTGCCGTGGACCACACTTTGGGAAACGCTGCTATAAAGGGTAGAAGTACCACAAGCAAACTACTAATAGCATCTTGCTGCAGACTGTGGCAGGAATTTAGTGACTAGCATGAGGACACATTAAGCAGGGAGGCATGTCATGAATAAGGACTATTGTTCTGTACTGTTATGTCTGTAGAGCAAATATGAAGAACTCCATTAAAATCATAATCTCCATTGAAAGAAGATAACATTTGTTCTACTGGTACTACTGATGTATGATGAGAATCAAACATCTGACAAGTCTCTATTATGTTCACTATTGAGGTATGAACACTAGTACAGTACGTAAAGATATTTTGATAGATATTTGTAATCATCTATTATAATTTGAATATTCTTGATCAAGCAGACATAATTAAAATTGTGCTATGGAAAAATGGACATAGCTTAAAGGAAAACAAATGAGGAGGAACAGAAAGGAAAAGTTACAAACTACAAATAAAAAATAAATATTCAATATTATACAGACTAAACTACTAAGAATTAAGAATTTTCTCTCATACTTTAGAAATTGGTGCATGTCTCTATTAATGAAGGAAGCTTTTTGATGAACAGGCCAAGAATTTATTTTTTGTCTACAAAAGTGTGTGTGACTTTAACATCTGCAGGTGGAAGCTTGGTGCATGAGCCTCTACCACCAACGCTAAAAAGCCACCTGGCTCTCAGGGAAGGCTGTAGAACAAGCTCACTTTTTCTGTTTGTAAGTGGTCTAGGTGCCACTACATGGGTAGGTACACCACACCCAGCAGGTGTGTGGGTTACATGGAGAGGTGGGGGAACAGTCATGTGACAGGAGGAGGAAGATAGGTTCACTGCAATATTGTTTTAATTTTCAGTTGTTTTTCATTCTGTTAACCTTCTGTAATCACAGAGCACTGAAGTGTTTGCTTGCTGTGTACTCTCCAAAGTAATTTGGAGTACAATGAAAATCACCCATGATAACATTTGTTGGCAGTGAGAATCAGTAATAAGCTATAGCTATCAAGTAATATAAGCCAAAAATATAAAACAAGGCCAGTCTGCAAACTCCTATGTAAGAGGCTATTTTATCCTTACTCAGTAAAGAACAATGGCTGTTGTCTCAGCTGTGCAAAATTTCCTTAAGATGAAGCATACATTAGTGCTTTTTTATTTGATTTGAATTTTAATTTGGTTAATAGAAGCATAAAGGCTTTTATAGTTCATCTACTCCTGATATATTACTTCTGCTGACATTATTGGATTTGATTTAGTACAATGTATTCAATAAAGTCTAAGCCTACTGTTTTCCATAAATAAACCTGTCTTTATGTTGGTCTTTACAATCACTCAGTGCACTTATGGCCTTGGCAAATGTAAATTATTTTGCA